AAGAAAAAGTGTGGGACCGTGCTGCGATCTAATACGGCAAATGAAACGTTTTTTGTGCACTTTAGTTACCAATATGCTCATGCATATCGCAAAGATATCATAGCTGCTAAAAAAAAGTTCCAGAAATTTGTCCAGCATGCAACAAAGGGTGAACTGTAACGAAGTGAAGAAAGACTAGCTCTGTCATAAATAATGTTAAGAATATGTGGTTATAACGAATTTTGGGACGTAACGAAGTATTTTCGTGGCAGATGTGACTTCGTTATAATCACGTTTGAGTGTATCGAGGGACAATGTGGGTTTGCAGCTGAATAACGGGAAAGATTGGGAGTGACCGGCAGTGTGCGGTGGAGCAAGGTCCCAGTCAGAGTGGTCTGAGGAAACATACTTCGAAAGCACGTTGGTAAATGTTCAGTTCAGAGGCTCCGTGAGGCCATTCGTCTGTGGATGGCACGATGTAATGAGCTTGTGCCTCATTGCACAGGACTGTAGAATGTCCGACATGACCCGATATAAATATCATGTTCGGCCACGGTCTGTAAACAGCTGGTGTGGATCTCCATGTTACAAGATCACGTTGTGTAGAAAAGAAACACCGCCCAAGCACTCCATACAACTGGTTAACCAGAGAACGCGAAATGTGCAGCCCTGGTGTTTAGCAGTGTGTTTAACCCGACGCTGCACTGAAGCCATTCACAACTATTGGTCATATGTTCGTGCTTAAGGTAGTTAGACACATGTTTGGCTTGGGTTTATTACAGGGTTTATTTCACATGCTGCACACAGACGTCTTAGGCAAAGCCGAAGTGCCGCTTTGCAACCACTTTGCAACCTACGAAATGCGACCTTCACAGCCGAGATAGAGAACTGCACAGGTGCTCTGGTGGTGCCAGACTGCTTGGAAACACAGGGTGGGCCACACGTTATCACAGTAAAAACCTTAGACAGTCCTCTTCTTAAAACGTGAAACTGCGAGGCGTTCTTGAGTCGCGGCAGAGCCATAGGAGAAGCGGCAGAACGAGTGCGGCGCTGTTCAGTACAATCGTCTTGACTTAGTATAGCTGTTCACTATATGCAATGCATGGGGCTCATAGCTCAGACCGAGTATTCTGTGCCAATTATTTACGCGTTCACAAGAAGAAGATTGCTAAGAAAAAAAATTTTTTGTTGCATAAACGTTTTGGGTGTTGCTTCCTTACGGAAGCTACTGCCAGAGGTTCAGGCTATTCGTGACAATGGCGAGGCTTTCCTGCATTGCTTTACACGCCTCAATGAAATCCTCTCTTCATCTAGTGAGAACCGTGATGAAGCAGACCAGACATTTCTTCAAGACGAAGCTATAGTCGATGAAACCTGCTGAACAAGTTTGTCCACCTTTTTCCTAGTTTCTCATTATGAAAGCCCCCCCCCCTTCCCCTCCCATCTTCCATTCAGAAACGCATCAGACAGTCTTATGGAATGAAAAAAATGGGGGGTCCGCATTGAATGCGCCGTGGTGACGAAGATCCGTTCAACTTCAAGTACTGCATACAGACGCATCAGTATAGCTGAATCTGCAAGAGATAGCTGTGCATGGGCTAGATGCCAATGGATTGAAGCAAGCGTACGAGGCTTTAAGTTGCAATCGAGAGCATCTTTGTTCTTTAACCATCACACCACCAGAAATTGAGAGCAAACGTGTCCAATAGGCAATTCATCTGTCACGACATACATGCACCGAAAGGCTCGAATTTGGCGCGAGAAGCATGGTATAAGGCCAGATATTGATCTTTACATGAGGTCAAGGCTGAACCCATCCGTTGTGCAGGCTGCACGTAAGCACTTCACCAGGGATGAATACGAGTTCTCTCGGCAGAGCCCGAATGAGAAAAATGTGATGTCCATCATCACGAATGGCCAGACAGAGTATGTCTCAAAGCGGTTCATGACTAGCTCAAAACGTTTAGCTTTCAGATTTTCAAAGCTGGGCACCCTGAAACTGCCATTGGCCTGTAATAGTGTGACAGCCTGCATCAGGAATTCGTGCTGTTTGCGTTTTTGTTTATTGCGCTAATACAGGTCTTGGCATCTCTGCACTCGAGAATGCATTTAGTATAGAAATGTCACTTGAAGGCATGAAAGAACTGTGCCTTTGCGGCTCCCAAACAACAAATTGTATGTTGGGTGAGTGCGAGCGCTGCCCATGAACTGAAAGCCTCAACCTGGCTAATCTTGGGATTCTTGACAAGGATGAAATAACATTTGCTGTGTGGGAAAGCGGTGATTTGATAAAGAAAATGTTATCTCCAACCCTTTTCCAGAAAGAGCTTGTCAAATGGGTGGCCAAATGGATTCCCCACGATTACATATGCCACACTTAAGCAGCGGCTATTCATGAAGCAACGATGTGCGAGCAGCCTGCAAGCATTGTCCTACATTTTAATTTTTTGAAAAACTGGACTGCCCTGCTCTCAAACGAAATGCAGTCGTATCATTGGCATAAAAAGCAATCTCGATCTTCTCCTGTGTTGCCGGGACAGGGAAAGCCACACGTAGTTTTGCTGTCATAAGAGACGATATGCATCACGACGCAGCACATGCCTGTTAGGCCCTAGTTAGAGTGCATGAAATTTTAGGTGAGAGAACCCATCTACTGTCACGTAGCATATGTCAGTGATAGTGCAGTGAGCATTAAAAATTGGTATCAACTTTAAGAGTTTTACTGCACCAAGTGCACGTTCATGAGGTGGATATTTTCTGCTATCGTGCATTGAAAGAATGCCTGTGATGGTATGGGTGGATTTGTTAAGCATCAAGCATCCTTGCACGACCTAAGGTCTGGATGCTCAGACTTCATTCAGTCAGCATACAAGATGGTGTCTCAACTTAGTGCCAAGCTGAGGAATGTGACTTTGGTTCATGCGCCTGCTGCAGCCATCAAGGAGCATCGTCAGAAGAAGTCAGTGGAGCGGAAATCAGTGCTGCATGTACCAGGAATTCAGTCATGGCACGTGTGGATGTGTGCTTTCCATTCGAGAAATGGCACTGGCGAGCTGACGAAATCAAACCCTTCTGAGTACCTCTAAATAAACTTGTTCGAGTGCCACTAGAAGTGTCCGATTCTGTCTTGAATCCACGAATACAAAGCAGAAGACTTGTTCTCTCTCAGTGCCATAAGAGAAGACTCACGTAAATCTTTCTTAGTTTGTACCAACCATTGCCTGCCATTAATATTCTTTCTTTTTTTTTAAAGAAATAGCGTAAGCATTCAGAAGCCGAAAGGTGCCATCACAGTACAGTAGCCAGCAAGTTCAGCCTTGGCTTGCTGTATTTTGTGAACAAAGCAAATGAGGACATGTAATATTGAAACCTTGTATTGATTGACATAAGCGGACTTCGATAAGAAATTTTGGTTAAAATTGGGACTGGGTTTAATATTATTTTTGTTTTCAAAAATGAGCTTTAAAAAAAAAAACTCGCTTCTTTGACTACTTTTTTATTGCCACTTATATGGACACTTTTGCCTAGATTTTGCTACCGGCATCGACATGGGCATCGTCGTCATTCACCGTATATGTATATGTAACCATATGTAAGAAAACACAAGAAATAAAAATAACCCAGAAAGAGACTTCAATGTGTGGAATCGAACATCTTACCTCTGAGATGCGAGTGCCAAGTGTTGGCCACTGAGCCACGAAGGAGCACCTCCTCCAACGTTCAAACGGCAAGCTACTTATATCTACTACTTACCACTGGCAAAGGGCATCTTGGGGGGAACTATCGTGTTTTCAGCATTACCAGCGAGATGGCCCAATGAGTGCACATCGCCACATCGTCACGACGCGGCGGCGCGCGCTCTCATCTCCCACACGTACTTTGCCCCACGAGTGGACAGTCACGCGTGCGCTCGCTTATTTCTCGGTGGGGACGATTGTACGCATTGGGCTTTCAGGAACGATTCTGTTCCTGAAACAAAGTAACAACTGAGCCGCTTATTCACATTAATCTGTACCTGTGAGTATGTTTCGTGTGTCATTTGTGCACGAGAAACATGGGGCATGTTTCGATGTGCTTGCCATTCTTCGCGTGACCTTCCAATTTGTTGCTATTGCGTTCATTGCTTCAGCTTTGCGGCAAAGCTGTGACTTTTTTCTTCTATTATGTGGCGTCTGGGAAAACAATATTTTGCAGGAATGTTAAAAGGATATCGCTCTATATTTGGCACTTTTTTAAAATTTGTGCGTGAAATGAGAAATGTGTCAAGGGGCACCCCAAAGATACCAAACTTTTTTATTTTGATCGAGTTTGCCATTTTTTTCAAAATTTTTCGGTCCTGCAGACAGCTTAAGAAAAGTATGGACGTAATTCACTGTGATGCATATTAAACAAGAAGAAAAATGTTTTGAGACGTTTACAGTGCACATTTAATTTGCCTGCGAAATCAGGAAATGTTGTGGCGAGATGCGCGCGCTTTCACCATGAAACATTTTTTTGTCGCATTGGGATCAGCTTTTGAAAATTAAATTTTTGGTCCCATGCCATGCACTGTGTATATACCCACATAACATATAAAAAAACAAGACAAAAGAAAGATATTGTCTGAACATGCACGTTCAATCTCTCGTGGAATCACCTCCAATCATATGACCACTGGATTGCTATTTACTCCACCTTGCAGTTTAAGCACCTTGCAGTTTAAGCACTCCACCTTGCATTTTAAGCACTTTAGTAATCCATGCCTTGTCTCAATTGGCTTTGAACCAGAGCACTACGACCTACTCCCTAGTACAATGCATAACATAAACTGAAATATGGATGGCTTACTGGATCTTGCTCAATTTCTCAGATGGATTTTCTTAGATCAGATGGAAGTATATTTTCTTAGCTGGAATGAAGCTCAATTTTTTATTAATGTCTTTGTGATGATGGGGCTCAGTGTCTAGCCTACTGCCTTGCTGGCGTGACAATGTCTTCATGGGTATTTGCAGCCTTCTCACTGCGAGTGTACTTCATCGCAGGATGAACCGTCTGGATCAAGGCATGTGCGCAGGATTCCTCATCCTGCTGGCAGAGGCATGAGCAGTGCTCGAGCTCGACGCTCTCAAATGCAGTTTTCTTCCACTGGTGGTCTTTCTGCACTTTCTCCTAGCAACAGAGACTCTATGGATCCTATTGCTGGTGAGGTCACTGGCTTTAAAGGGCTACTAAAAGATGTTTTGGTGCTAAATAGGGTGGAATAATAGGGCTGAAGGGCATGGCACTGGTCAGAGATATCTTTCGATACTAAAACAGGGTCTGGAACAGGGTCTGGGGGTGCGGTAAGAGCAATCACTAAAACAGGGTCTGGGGGTGCGGTAAGAGCAATCACCCCCCGCCATTTCAGTGGTTGTAATCCACTTCCTATCACCAATTGGGACAAATGAGTGAAACCACTGTGAGCACTCCTTACCGGTATTTGTGCTATGAAGGGGTTTTTCTGCTAGTCAAAACAAAAAGTACTGCCCCCCCCCCCCTTTTCGGTGTTACCGAAGGCGCCCCCCCCCCCCCTCCTAAAGTGAGTGGCTGGATCCGCCTTGACAAACACTGCTGGCTTTTTGAGATACATAAGTGCGCTTCTTTATCGCGATATAATACTAAGCGACAACTGCAGTTTCATTGATACACGGAGCGGTCGTGTAGACCTGGATCATCTCCTGGTTAGTTGCGTGCAGTGCGGCTTCTATGTTGCCTAGTTTGTCGCTGCTGGGCAGCTTGCTGTACCGTGCACGCGGATTTGCTGTACGAGTTGCACGTTCCCACTTCGCTCCAGACCAAGCGCAGTTGAGCAAAGTAGTGTGTTCAAGTAGCGTTGGTATAACAAACTTCCGCTAAGGAAAGTGCGCCGCGATTAGGCTACAATCCGTTTCACACATCAGGTGCAACGTTGCGAGGGCTAGCGAGACTCCTTGTTGTAGATACGTTTGCATAAAGAAATAGTTTCATGTTTTTACCACCCAGAGTATATTTCTTTTTGTTTCAGGTTTAGCATGAAACAGGCATGTTTTGTATCACACACACATGTACGTGCGTGCAGGTAGTGCTGAGTGTTTGTGAAAACCATTCGAATTTTTTACCAGCAATAATTTTAATTGACAATGTTTGACCCTAGAAAGCTGCTCCAAAACTAACTCGCGTTGCTCTAAAACACTCCTTTTGGAGCTCCGAACCTATTTCAGAACCCCTCTCTTACTGCACCAAAGCTGCTTCAAAACAGCATTATTGCTGCTCCCTTAGCTGCTCCAAAACACTGAAGTCCACTTCCGATGGTTCTATATCAGCAACAAATCGTTGTTTTGCTCGCCGCGAGATGACGCAAAAAGAGGCTGTGGTTGCTCTCGCTCCCGCTTGGACACGCTGCCAGCAGCTGCCGGAGCGCGCAGGCCACGCACTCCCGTGTTCCCTTTCATAAAAATTAACACTGTACATAAGCAGTTTCTTTTTTCTGTGTTCCTAGATATGAAAAAGGCCTATTAAACTACATGCCACTTTGGCATATTGCGAGACCTGCCACATATAGGTGTGTGGGGGTAGAATGCTGACAATCATTGAAAGCTACTTGTGAAATCGGACATTCCATGTGTGAGTGGGTGCTGTTTTTTTCTTTAATTTTGTCCAAGAAACAGGAGAGCCACAAAGAGGTGTATTGAGTTGTACACTTTCCGTAGTCTAAATGAACTTCTTGCACCTCGTCATCCCATGTAATATGTTTTACTGCACATATGTTGATGATGCTGAGTAACTCGGGGGCATGAATTGCAGCTCATGATTATTGAATTAGACAAGTAAAGCAGGAAGGTAGGTCCTAAAGTTAATCTGCAGAAAACGAAAGTAATGTACAACAACCTCGAAAGAGATAGGTAGCAGTGCCCTTGAAGTTGTGAAAGAGTACGTCTACTTTGGACAGGTAATTACTGCAGAGCCGAACCTTGAGATTGAAGTAACTAAAAGAATAACCCCCGTATTCAGAAACGCTGCTTGACTTGATCTTGACTTGCCACCGACTTCAATGCGACACAAATGCATTTTGAATGCTCTGTCTTTAGGCTGTACAAACGCTCTATCGTTATGCACCACAAACGCACAGATGCATTGCGAACGCGCTGCATTAAAGTGGTTTCAAGTCAAGTTCAAGTCAAGTAGCGTTTCTGAATACGGGGGTAAAAATGGGGTGGAGCACATTCAACAAGCCCTCTTAAGTCACGACTGGTAGATTGCCATTATCCCTGAAGAGGAAGGTATATAACGTCTGCACATTGCCAGTACCTACTTATGGAGAAGAAACCTAGAGGCTTACAAAGAGGATTCAACTTAAATTGAGGACAATGCAGCGAGCCATGGAATGGAAAATTATATGTGTAACCTTAAGAAACAAGAAGAACGCAGAGTGGATCAGGGAAGAAACCGGGGTTAAGGTTATCGTAGTTGAAATCAAGAAGAGGAAATTGACATGGGCAGGGCATGTAGTGCGTAGGCAGGATAACCCCTTGTCATTAAAGGTAACTGACTGGATTCCCAAAGGAGGCAAGCGGTTAGAGGGAGACAGAAAGTTAGGTGGGCTGATGAGATTAAGAAGTTTGCGGGTATAAAGTGGCAGCAGCAAGTGCAGGACCGAGTTGACTGGCGGAACATGGGAGAGCCCTTTGTCCTGCAGTGGACGTAGTCAGGCTGCTGCTGCTGCTGATGATGATGATGATTTTGCCGATGTGCAGGTTGGTTTTAAATCTTGTAGCTTCAATGTGCGAACGTGAGGTCCAATTAGGTTTGAGCAAGAGTTGGAAATGGGCAGACAATTTAATCTGTGAGATGTGCAATGAAATATCATGGTTTATTTGAGAGATGCTGGATTTATAAGTACAGTCAAACCTGTTTATAATGAACTTGAAAGTGCCGTGATAAATGCTCATTACCGTATTTACTTGATTCTACACCGTACATGTGACAGGACGCACAAAAGAACACTTGCGTCCTATTCTCCAGAATGAGGGGCCTTCACCCAGATCCTGACATTGACCTTCATGGCCAACGTTGTTCTGTAAAGATTGAGCATAAGTTCCTGGTCCTAATACTAGACACAAAACTAACCTTCATACCATACATAAATGAAAAAATTAATGGAAAAATTGAACATTTTGAACTTCACCATTCCCATTGCCATGCCCCCCTTGAACAGTTAGAGAGAACATCAACAGATACATTGTGTGCATGCATAGTCAATGCTAAGTAAAAAACATTTAGTACTAGAAATGAGAAAAAACAAATAACTAACTCATAAATAAAAGCTAATAAAATGTACATAACGAGAGGAAAAAAAGTATTATGCATTTGGTGAGGTTATGGTGAGGAATGTAAAATGATAAGACAATAAAGTCCTATCAGGATTTTTCTGGACACTGTAAGGGGTATGAAGGTTAATGGCAAGTACGGTGGGTATCTTTATGGTAGCTGGCTGCCCGGTGTCATCCGCATAGCTAATCTTCGCCAGTGAGGACATGCGCTCTTAAAGACTGAACGAAGGTTTATTTACATGATAAAAGAGAGATGGAACTGTACAGAGATTCAGCCCTTATGTTCAAAATGCTTTCGGATTTTATAGCCCGTCGATTCCTTACACGATAGTCTGAAGAAGGCGGTGACCACTGTAGCCACGAAGCAGGTGATGTCAAGTCTCTCAGTGATCCACCCACCAGAAAGGGTGCAGATATTGAACCACTCGGCTGATGAGGAACACGGGCGAAAATGTCCAATGCTAGCACGAGCACACCTCACAATAACACACCGGGCCTACACTTTGAAGTCATTGAAGGGTGAGAAGGTAAAGTCCGGTGAAGGGGGAAAGTTCAGCTCCTCCGGGGAGATAGCCGCTGACACGAACGTCAGCAGCGGTTCATGGCTGCGTTCAGCTACAGTGTTCCAGAAGTTTCTCTAACACTGCAGTCCAGGTGCTCGATCCCTGAGAACTGCGACTGCGATGCCTTCCCACGCTCACGCTTCCGAACTGTTGGTTCTTTATCACGACCTCGCATAGGCGACAATGGCTATGTGGAGAGGTCGACTTCATGAGAACTACAACAGTGGCACCATCTCGCGCTGTTCGACCCCGTTCAACTAAATAGTTCACGAAGCTTCCGTTGAGTTCATTGTAACCCAACCACAGCGAACTGCCTGGAACACCTGCAGGACAGCGTTGTGCGTGGTGCTTCTGACTGGGCGTCAATACCGGGGTGAAAGCATTCTTGCAGACCGGATTTCGCACTATGGCATCTGCTATGACGAACTGCCGGGTGAAACATAAGAGCACATTGAATGAGAAAGTGTATTCCCTGCCTGAATGGCATGAAGAAGCGCCGACAAAATGAATGCGTGAGTGCTTCCGTACATGTGACTCAAACCGAGGTGACAATTTAATCTGTGAGATGTGCAATGAAAATATCATGGTTTATTTGAGAGATGCTGGATTTATAAGTACAGTCAAACCTGTTTATAATGAACTTGAAAGTGCCGTGATAAATGCTCATTACCGTATTTACTTGATTCTACAGCGCCCTCGATTGTAAACGCGCACCCGATTTCCACCGCAAAAAAAAAACAAAAAAAACGTAAGACATCGATTGCAACGCGCACCCATTTTTCTCGCTGGCCCGCACGATCACACCACTCGAAAAAACGACTCCTTTCGGGAGCGTCTTCCATTTAAATATGAGGTACGGGCGAAGCTTGTGCCCATCTGACGTGTAACAGAGCATTGCCGTCACTGTAGTTTTACCGTGGACCGATGTCAGCACGCGAACTTGCTTCGCCTCCTTCTTCTCGGCGGTTGTGGTGCCAGGCATGTCGAAGTAAAGAGGCGTCCGATCGGCATTCCCGATTTGCCCAAGCAGGAAGCCGTTGTTGCGCCGCAAGTTTAGGACGAACCTACGAAAATTGTGAAGCTTTTCATCGTACTCCACCGCAAAATTTTTCGCATATGCATGTTCCCCTTCGGAGGGAAAAGCCTTTCCTCTTCATAAAGTTAGTTAACCAGCACCTGCTCGCTTTAAACTGGCTCCGCATTAGACCTTTTTCTAAGACTAATTGCATAGCCCGCACTTGGAGCAGTTCTGTCGTCACGAGCCGCTGTGCCGCTCGCTGCTCAAGCACAT